GATATTCCACAAAAGAGAAAGGGTATCATTTTATATGCGACTGCGGCAGCAAGAGTTTTGATCGCAGCAAAATGGAAGAGTAATGAAATCCCCTCTATACAAGATTGGATCAAAAGCTGACAGAATATGCCGAATTAGATGGTTTATCAGAAAAAATAAAGAATAAATCAAAACACTAATTTGTTTCAAAATGGGAGGTTTTCAAAGAATATCTGAAAAATAAATATAGTAGTTTAAATTCTGTTGCAGCATTCGAGGAACTTCAGAAATAGTTGTAAGGTAGATATAAGAAATTAGATTTATTAAGAATAAGTTTAATTATGATAAAAGTGTATATTGGCAATAAGTAAAATGAATTTGAAATAGAATTTGGAATAGACGGGAGGTTGGGTCTTGAGTGTTAAAGTGTTAAGACCAATAGATGTTTTATTGTTTGCTAAGAAAATTGTGTGTCTATGGTTATTCTTGTGTGTAATTTGTGTTTTTTTCCTTTTTTCTTGTATCAATAAAAAACTTTATTAAAAAAGAAGAAGTTGATGAGCCTTCCTATTCTGCCACTCAAAGGACCATTATTTTGGGGGAAGGTGCCCCGAATTAGGCCCACTCCATTTTCACACCATGAAAAAAGAAGGGTAACATGCCCATACCTTGTGAAGCAATTTCACAAGATCAGTTAACAATGGGGGGCGGGGAGGAAAGAGTGGATCTAACTGAGGACATCCCCCACAAATGATCCTTTGAGATATAAAATGGAAAGGTATGTCATGTCCTTAGCCCTGAAGTAATTGAAACCAAATGCCTGGTGAATTTGTCCAGGAAGATAATGCCTAATCAAAACAATCTAAATATTGTTCATGCTCTTTGGGTCATGAAGAAATTTCCTTTCGCATTAACATTTCTGAACAATAAGCATAAGTTGGGTCAGTGGTTGTTGATATTTTAGGGCATTTGGTAGTCAATGACCTGTACATTGGAGGCATCAGAACGATGCTGTGGTACAACCAGGCAACATTATTTTAAGGTACATAGCCCAAGCACATCATCTCCAAGGTTCAGAATGTGATGGTATCATCCACAGTAGTCCTTCTGAAGGAAGGTCAGAGTGGTAACTTACAGATCACCCTAAAAGAGGAAATGTTGTTTAGTCATTTAGTCGTGTCCAACGCTTTGTGACCCCATGGACCAGAGCACGTCAGGCACTCCTGTCTTCCACGGCCTCCCGCAGTTTGGTCAAACTCATGCTGGTCTCTTCGAGAACACTGTCCAACCATCTCGTCCTCTATTGTCCCCTTCTCCTTGTGCCCTCCATCTTTCCCAACATCAGGGTCTTTTCCAGGGAGTCCTCTCTTCTCATGAGGTGGCCAAAGTATTGGAGCCTCAGCTTCAGGATCTGTCCTTCCAGTGAGCACTCTGGAAAGAGGAAATACACCACCCCAAAAAATGAAAATGAAGACACAGGTATATGTAAGATTTGTGTTTGCTAATTTAAATGCAAATCTAGAAATGGTTACTATAATCTAACTAGAAATTAGGGATGCTGTAGAAGAAAAAGAAGAGTTTGGATTTGATATCCTGCTTTATCACTACCCAAATGAGTCTCAAAGCGGCTAACATTCTCCTTTCCCTTCCTCCCCCACAACAAACACTCTGTGAGGTGAGTGGGGCTGAGAGACTTCCAAGAAGTGTGACTAGCCCAAGGTTACCCAGCAGCTGCATGTGGAGGAGTGGAGACATGAAACCAGATTACGAGTCTGCCGCTCTTAACCAGTACAGCACACTGGAGAATTCCACAGGAAATGGAAATGCTCCCCATAGGAGCAAGCCACTGCCAAATGTTAAACAATGTGAACAGCTTTCCCAGAAGAATGAGAGCACAGGAAGGTCAAGGCTTGCCAGCCTGTTTTTAAGGCTTCAGGTGACAGTTAGCGTTTTGCTGCAACATCATCTCCCCAAGCCCAGCTATGCTGGAAGAGTCCACTGCGAGCTGTCCAGGGTTTTGATTTCCTTAGCCTAACATACCCAGCTCTGCTGGGAAGACCTAATAATAATAATAATAATAATTACAACAACCACCACCCCAATTTATTATTTATACCCCACCCATCCAGCTAGCTTTCCCCAGCTACTCTGGGTGACACCCAATAGAATATTAAAAACTTTTACAATAAAACATCAAACAATTAAAAACTTCCCTAACGTGGGGTGCCTTCAGATGTCTTCTAAAAGTCAGATAGTGGTTTATTTCCTTGACATCTGATGGGAGGGAACCGCCAGAAGGCCCTCGGAGCTAGACCTCAGTGTCTGGGCTGAACAATGTGGGTGGAGATGCTCCTTCAGATATACTGGGCTGATGCCGTTTAGGGCTTTCAAGGTCAGCACCAACACTTTGAATTGTGCTCAGGGATGTACTGGGAGCCAATGTAGGTCTTTCAGGACCTGTGTTATGTGGTCTTGGTGGTCGCTGCCACATTCTGGATTAGTTGTAGTTTCCAGGTCACCTTCAAAGGTAGCCCCACATAGAGCACGTTGCAGTAGTCCAAGCAGGAGACAACCAGAGCATTACATTCCACCAAAACAGGGATAACCAACATGGCAACCTCTGGATGCTGGGGGAATACAAACTCCCATTGGTTCCAACCGACAAAGCCAACAGTCAATGAAGGATGACTAGTGGCACCATGTTTTCTGTGAGATTTTGTCTAGATGAGCTACTCAACCAGCCACAGGACTCAATAGTCTCCCGCTGCTGAACCAGAGGAGAGAGTTTCCTGATCGATCTACTGCTGTGATTCCTTATGGATCACTGCTCAGCCATAGAATTCCCAAATGGCCTGGATGTGCTTTTGGGTTCAGTAGTTCTTCCTGATGACGGGGCCACATGCACACACCACTCCCCACCAGTTGCTCTATAAAACTGCAGGAGTATCTCACATCCTTCACAGAAGACCTAGACTAGCCAAACAAGTGCAGTCGAAAAGGACACCTGGTGAGTAACTTCCATAGCTAGCTTTTATGGGAATGGCCACAGCTGCTTAGTTTCCTTGGAAATCCCATCAGCAAGATATGAAGGAGTGTTGTTGGCTATAGTATTTGGTATTCAGATCTAGAGGCTCTCTCTAGGTGAGAAGTTTTTTGAGATATTGGGACTCATGAAAATTAAAGGGGGAATCTTCATTATTTTATATGATTCTTATTTTTGGCATTTTTAGGTCCTGCCCCCCTTAGAGCCAAACTAGACAATATCATAAAATGCATGGCTTCGTTTCACATATCTGGGGTGTGTTGTGGTAAAATAACAGCTGTGGAGAAACCTGATTGGGAGTTACTCCTTTGTCACTGTGCTGTTTTCTTAAGAACCATCCCCTCGCCCTTGAACCCTCTATTTGCCGCAGAAGGAACATTAATCTTGCCTTCCCACCAGATTCCAGAAGATGACTGAGGTTTCCCAGCTGCTCTTTAGTTTTAATTCAATATTTATTAGATGTCACAGAGTCCCTCTTGAGGGCTTAGGGTGGGTGGGCAGTCTTCTGAACATTGTGGGATAGGGTAGGAAAGGAAAGGATGAAGAACAGCCAAGCTGAAAACTTCATCAAGTTAATGATGTTGGGTCCCAAGCCAGAATCTTCTCTGCACCCCAGTTCACACTGCTTAGGAGCCCCTCTCCCAACTGAGCCTCAGGGGAACCACCAGAGATGCTCCATCAGAGTATCTTAGTGATCGAGGTGCAGCATAAGGAATCATAGTCCTCTTTTTAGAAGAATGGCAGAGATTGCATGAGAGCATCTGTTCTACTAACCAGAACTTCCTCTTCTTTGATTTTCCCACCTCAGCTGAAGATGAGTCCTACCACTTTCTTCCATCTCTCCATTTTGGGCTTCCTGGCTGCCTGCTTCTTTCTGCAAGGTACATCCCAGCTGGGCTCCTCCATCTCTGGCTGAGAAAGGCCAAGCAAACTATAGTAGTTCTCGGGAGGAATGGCATGGCTTGATGCCTAGCCAAGTGGGGTTTCTGCCGTGCTTGAGTCAATGTGCACGTACAGAGGGCACAGGGAGAAGAAGGGTCCTTTTTAACTTCCCTTCAGGGAAGCGGGGCATTCGTGATAATAATAATAACAATAATAAATTTATATTTATATCCCGCCCTCCCCAGCCGAAGCCGGGCTCAGAACGGCTAACAACAATAAAAGTAACACAATTTACATAAAATCACAATAAATTGATTGAAATGCATTCTAAAACCAATTCAAAATCAAGTTAATGGCAACCAGAGTTCTATGAGGATCACCAAAGGAGGCGGTCAGACTGTGCCTTGGCCAAAGGCCTGGTGGAACAGCTCCATCTTGCAGGCCCTGCGGAAAGATGTCAAGTCCCACAGGGCCCTGGTCTCTTGGGACAGAGCGTTGCACCAAGTCGGGGCCACGGCCGAAAAAGCCCTGGCTCTGGTTGAGGCCAGCCTAACCTCCCTGTGGCCCGGGATCCCCAAGATGTTTTTGTTTGAAGACCGTAAGGTCCTCCGTGGAACATACCTGGAGAGGCAGTCCCATAGGTACGAGGGTCCTAGGCTGTATAGGGCTTTAAAGGTTAAAACCAGCACCTTGCCCTCCTCCAGGAGAAAATCATGCTAAGCATGATGGTCGGCAGTGCTGGAGATGGTTTGGAAGGGCTGCCCAGCGCAGCCAAAGAAAGAACATAAAAAGGGCTCAGGTCAATGGTCCATCTAGTCTAGCATCCTTTTCTCATAGTGGCCAAACAAAAGCCAGCAAGCAGAAGATGAGCACAAGAGCTCTCTCCCCTCCTGTGGTTCCTACCAAGTTTGATTCGGAAGGCTGCCTCGAGCTGTGGAGACAGAGCAGAGCCATCATGGCTGGTAGATTCTCCATAAATGAGCTACATGAATATTCAAATGCAACTTTCTAGCCCGCTAGGAGTTTGGGGAGTTTGGGGGTAAGGTGGACAGAGGAAGTTTTCTGAGACTCTCACCTCAATATCTGGCTGGTGAAAATGTTGCTGGAAGACCTTTCTGATGGTAAGAGCTGTTTGACAGCGGAACAGGCTTTCATTTGAGGTTCTGAAAAGGAGGCTGGATGGCCACCTGTCAGGGATTATTTAGTTGTGATTCATGTATTTCAGGGGATTGGATTAGATGACCCTTGGGTCTCAAACTAAAACTAAAACTAAAACAACTAAAACTAAAACTAAAACTAAACAACTAAAACTAAAACTTTTATTATTTAAACCCTGCCCATCTGGCTCAGTTTCCCCTGCCACTCTGAGCGGCTTCCAAAAGAACGTTAAAAACGCAATAAAACATCAAACATTCAAAACTTCCCTAAACAGGTTTGCCTTCAGATGTCTTCTAAACGTTGTGTAGTTCTTTATCTCCTTGACATCTGATGGGAGGGCATTCCACAGGGCAGGAACCACCAGTGAGGGAACCAGGCAGAGGGCCTTCTCGGTGGTGGCGCCCGCCCTGTGGAATGCCCTCCCATCAGATGCCAAGGAGATAAACAACTATCTGACTTTTAGAAGAGATCTGAAGGCAGACCTGTTTAGGGAAGCTTTTAATATTTGGTAAATTATTGTGTTTTAATATTTTGCTGGAAGCTGCGCAGAGTGGCTGGGGAAACCCAGCCAGATGGGTGGGGTATGAATAAATTATTATTTTTATTATTGTTGTTATTGTTACTGTTGTTATTGTTCAATAAGTGTCTTTTTGCACAAATCCTTGCTTCTCAATAGCACATATATTAGATCCCCCTTCCCACAGGTCCTCAGCATCCTTGAGATTGTGCCGGCCACACAGCCTTTCAGGTCTCACCCCTAGGTCCTGGGTGAGGCCGCTCTCCACTTCCTGCAAATAGTCCAGATTCTGACCCAGCCACCTCCTCCACAACCTTGACATTGTGTTCCCTCTCCTCTGACAGGCACGGAAGCAATTAGCTGCCCCCAGGACTGGATCAACTTTCAGAGGCATTGCTATTCATTAAAGAAATTTGCGCGGAATTGGTATGATGCGGAGGTAAGGAGAGATTCTTGGAAGCCCTGTGTAGCAAATTGCTCCAGACACCATGTTTCCAGTCAAATGTCAAACACCCACCCACCCTTCCTCTCCTCCCTGGCAAGCAACTCACAGCAAATGAAGCATAGTCTTGGGATACAAAGTTATCCCTGCATATGTCACATGGCAGGTTAAAAGAATAATGAAAGAAAGATGATGACGCTGCTAAAAAGGTGAAAGATACTCGGAGTTGAGTGTGGATTTCATGCTCTTTATTCGGCTCATAGTAGTGAGGAATGGGAGTTTCCCCCGAAATTTCTGGTTTATGTACATTATTTACACAATGGGCCCCACGTGATTGGCTAATTCCAGGATTCTCTTGTAGGGCAATTAGGTTGCGGATTCATTTCCACCTGGAGCTGGATTGGGTGGCTCCTGCGGACCAATCAGACTGCTGCATTCTGGATCCTGGTTTATGTGGATCCTATTGTTCTAGGACCAATCAGACTGCTGCATTCTGAATCCTATCATTCTAGGACCAATCAGACTGCTGCATTCTGAATCCTATTGTTCTAGAACCAATCAGACTGCTGCATTCTGAATCCTATTCAACTCAGTACATAACAAAAGGAATATATAAAACTGGTTTCTCAATGAAGAGTAGAGTTGATTATTTTCCTCCTGAATCAGAAGATAAGGCTCACATCCGCACCACACATTTAAAACACTCCTTTACCATAGTGACAATTCTAGATAATCCTGGGAACTGCAGTCTGATAAGGATGCTGGAAATTGGAGCTCTGTGACATCAGCACCCTTAACAAACTACATTTCTCAGGATTCTCTGCAGGCAGCCATGACTGCCTAAGCGGTTACCTCCCTACGAGAAGTGAGGTTACAGGGAACCAGGCAGAGGGCCTTCTCGGTGGTGGCACCCGCCCTGTGGAACACCCTCCCTTCAGATGTCAAGGAAATAAACAACCATCTGACTTATAGAAGACATCTGAAGGCAGCCCTGTTTAGGGAAGTTTTTAATGTTCAGTGCTCTATTGTGCTTTTAATTCTGTTGTAAGCTAGATGAGCACGGTATAAATAATACATTATTATTATTATTATTATTATTATTATTATTATTATTATTGAAGAGTGCTTTAGTGTATGTCATGAATGCCAAAGAAATACAAGCAAAAAGCAAACCAAAAACTCTGGCCAATATAAGTTTCAGCAGTGGGAGTGGTCCCTACTCGCAAATTGATAGTCAATTGTAACAAAAACTAATCCATTCAAAAGTATGTATTCTGACACGGATTACAGACTCAAATAGAGATTACAAACTCAAACTCATAAGGATATGTATAACACAATAATTCATTAGAGATAAAAGTTTATGAGTAAAGATAAGTTCATGTTAGTCCATAGTCCGATTCGATGTGAAAATCTTCGTTTCAGTCATTGAGCAGAAGTCAGAAGTCAATTAGGGATCAGAAACCAGGACAGGGCCCTGTTTCGATGTCTTCATCTTCATCAGCTAATTTTTAAGGGGTGGTGTAAGATTGAGGAATTAGTATAAATATATCCTGTTATTTTCTACGTTTCTCAGAGATAACAACTAAGTGTGAGTAGATCAACGTGTATCTTGAGCTTTTCTCAAGCTTTACGTCGAATCGGACTATGGACTAACATGAACTTATCTTTACTCATAAACTCTAATCTCTAATTCTATAACGAATTATTGTGTTATACACATCCTTATGAGTTTGAGTTTGTAATCTCTGTTTGAGTTTGTAATCTCTATTAGAATACATACTTTTGAATGGATTAGTTTTTGTTACAATTGACTATTGATTTGGGAGTAGGGACCCCTCCCACTATTGAAACTTACATTGGCCTGAGTTCTTGGTGTGCTTTTTTCTTGGTATATCAAAGAAATACAAGCACACTGAATGGATCCATCTTTACTAGGTGAACCTTACCAGTCCCTTCTAACTCTATAATTCCATTATTCTTTGTAATGGGTCATTGTCAGATGATGGATTTCCTCTTCCTCTTGCAACAGAAACCAGTGATGTGGTTGGAAAGGTGTGGTACACAGAGTGTACACTCACACAATGTTGCATGTTAATAATCATAGAAGTATGCAACTCAGCAGTTTGCAAACACAAGTAGGCAGACTGTACATGGGTTGCATGTAACATGTGAACATGCATGTAACATGTGAACATGTGATGATGATGATGATGACGACGACGATAATTTATTTATACCCCGCCCATCTGGCTGGGTTTCCCCAGCCACTCTGGGCGGCTTCCAACAAAACAATAAAATACAATAACCTATTAAACATTAAAAGCTTCCCTAAATAGGGCTGCCTTCAGATGTCTTCTAAATGTTTGGTAGTTATTTTTCTTTGACATCTGGTGGGAGGGCGTTCAACAGGGTGGGTGCCACTACCGAGAAGGCCCTCTGCCTGGTTCCCTGTAACATGGCTTCTTGCATCGAGGGAACCGCCAGAAGGCCCTCGGCACTGGACCTCATCATCCGGGCAGAACGATGGAGGTGGAGATGCTCCTTCAGGTATACTGGGCCGAGGCCGTTTAGGGCTTTAAAGGTCAGCACCAACACTTTGAATTGTGCTCGGAAACGTACTGGGAGCCAATGTAGGTCTTTCAAGACCAGGGTTATGTGGTCTCGGCGGCTGCCCCCAGTCACCAGTCTAGCTGCCGCATTCTGGATTAATTGCAGTTTCCGGGTCACCTTCAAAGGTAGCCCCACATAGAGCGCATTGCAGTAGTCCAAGCGAGAGATAACCAGAGCATGCACCACTCTGGCAAGACAGTCCATGGGCAGGGAAGGTCTCATCCTGCGTACCAGATGGAGCTGATAAACAGCTACCCTGGACACACCTGCACCTCCATGGACAGCTGTGAGTCCAGAAGGACTCCCAGATCAAGTCTCATCTTTGAGACCCCACATAATCCTTCTTGGGAAATCTTGCAGGAGTCACTCGCTGCAGCCAAGCAGCTAGCCCTCATCTCCAAGGTAACCCCCCCATGTTCTTTTCCTCTCACAGGCAGACTGCCAAACGTATGGGGAAAAAAGCCACCTGGCCTCCATCCTTAGCGAGGAAGAGAACAAGCGTGTGGCCGCTGTTATAGCAGGAGGAAATGATCCCGGAATTCGTATCTGGATTGGACTGTTCAGAATTAAAAAGGGCGGGAGGGTAAGTAAAGGGGGCAAACTCTCTTTTTCATTTGCCTCTCAGTAGGAACAGCAGCCGGCAAGGGCACAGAGGAGCAGTCCAGAAGACGAGAGCTCCCTGCAGGGAAGGGAAGGCCAGATATTCCCATCTCTGTAAGGGAGGATCTGGGGCTCTGGTGAAGCTCTTAATTCAAAGAGTAGCCATCTGCCTGCATCCCCAGGATGCAACACAGGTCCCATTTAGAACTCTCGCAATATTACTTTAATAAGGTTTTAAATCAGCAAAGTTGATATGCCCCTTAGCCTTGGAGCAATACAGTGGTACCTTGGGTTAAGCACTTAATTCGTTTCGGAGGTCCGTTCTTAACCTGAAACTGTTCTTAACCTGAAGCACCACTTTAGCTAATGGGGCCTCCTGCTGCTGCTGTGCTGCCGGAGCACGATTTCTGTTCTCATCCTGAAGCAAAGTTCTTAACCAGAGGGACTATTTCTGGGTTAGCGGAGTCTGTAACCTGAAGCGTATGTAACCCGAGATACCACTGTATTTGACTATCCAGTTGGAAAGGAGGACATACCGTCTTTTCTTCCTTTAACACTTCTGCAGAGTAGAGGGATGTAGCAGGTGCATTTCTTGTGCTGGGTGATGGAGAACAGCTGATCCTGGCTAGATCTCCCCCAAGCAGTACAAGACTGAGAGGTCCATCCGCCACATCTTCCTTGGGATTTGATCCCACCAGCTGAAAATCAATTCATTGACAGCCTTGCTCTAAAATCACACTGGGGAGAAGAGCTGAAAGGTCGGGGCAGGGGCGTAGGAAGGTGGGTGCAGGGGGTGCGGACCGCCCTGGGTGTCATCCGTGGGGGTGTGTGACAAAAACACACCACCGCCGCTGTTGTGCGCCATGGATCGCCCTGCCTCGCGCAGCAGATCACTCCACCGCCACCGCTGTGTGCCTTGGATTGCCGTGTGTGGCGGGTCACCCTGCTGCCATTGCATGCTGCATGCACGGCGGTTCGTGCCCCCAGCTTGCACCGCCCCTGCCGAGTGCATGGCATGGTTGTCGCTCCAGGCGCCCATGCAGCTAGCTCCGCCACTGGGTCAAGGTCCTCGAATCAATGCGGCTCACTGCTGCCGCCAGAAGTCTTAAGGAATGGGTGCCCTTGCAGCACCCCTGGCCTCAAATGGAGTCCTTGCAGCTCCTCTCAAGGATGGGCAAAGTCTCAGGGAGGCATCCCAGTGTGTCTCAGGCTGAAGCTGCTTGGGGGCGATTGCTTGGTGCCACAACAAATGATCCCTTTGGACTCATGTCCCTGGGAGTCATTTGGTAGAACAATGGGAATCTTCATCTCATGGTTGTGGGTCCGAGCCCCACGCTGGGCAAGAAATTACTGCATTGCAGGAGGTTGGGTCCCTTGCAACTCTACGATTCTAGGAATGTGCCCCCAAAGCTCCACGCCCAGAGACGCCAAACCAGCCACGCTCCCCTAAATCCGATTCTGAATGAGGCAACTGGAAGCTCCTGTTCCTTCCTCAGCAAAGACTTTTTGCTCTCTCTACAGAACATACAGTTAAGATGGTCTGATGGTGCCAATTTTGACTACACAGCTTGGGGAGATGGACAGCCAGACAAGAGCGGATACTGTGTCGAGATATTTGGGGATGGTAAGAAGGGTGCTTCATAAACTGAAGACCTTTGCTTCTTTGTATTCTGTGAACCTTGATTCCATTCTATTGATTACTGTTATCTATATAAGGCCTTTCAGGACACACTGTATTTTTCGCTCTATAGGATGCACTTTTCCCCCTCCAAAAATTAAGGGGAAATGTGTGTGTGTGTCCTGGAGCGAATGCAAGCTCCCTGGCTTCAGCGATAGCAATGTGAAGCCTCCAAAGCCTGCGCTCTGGAAGCTTCACGTTGCTTTTGCCAGGGAGACAAAGTCCATCATGGCCCCACGTTGCCTCCGGACGTCCAATGATCTCCCGTAGACATGCAGTATCAGCAATTAGCGACACGAGCTCCAGAAATAGCTTGTCACATTCCAGAGCTGATGCACACTCTTATCAGCAGATAATGCACAGCGAAAGATGCACGCAGGAGAGCATTATTTAAGTTTATTCAGCGTGCTCCTTCAGCTGAGCTAGGGTGCTTTGGTAGGGTGCTTTGGTAGGGTGCTTTGGTAGAAAGCCTGATTCTTCCAAAACATCAGAAGATCATCAACAAAACATAAACAATACAGTTTGTTTTGCCCCTCCTCTTTTACAAACACACATGGATCAGCTTTGCCCTGGTGAAAACCTAGAGAAAGCACCGTCTCAGTGAGTTTTGTGTTCCAACACCTAGCACTCTGCTTGAGACCATATAAGGATTTCCGCAGTTTACAGACCATTCCCTTCTGTAGCTGCATTCCATCAGGTGGAAGCATAAACAGCTCCTCCCCCAAAACCCCGTACAAAAAAGCTGTATTAATGTCATGATGGGAAACATGCAGTTTCTCCTCCGCAGCAATCTTGAGCATCAGCCGAATGCTCTCATATTTGACGGTGGGAGAGTAGGTCTCGTGGTAATCCTGTCCTGGTACCTGTGAAAAACCTCTGGCAACCAATCTGGCTTTGTGTCTGACAACCTTGCCATTCTGGTCTGTCTTGGCCTTAAAGACCCATTTGCTGCCAACCAGTCTCATCCCTGGGACTACCGGTACCAGTTCCCAAGTTTGGTTCCTATTCAACTAATCAACTTCAGCCTTCATGGCATTAAGCCAAGGCTCAGCATCTTTAGAGGTTAACTCCTGAACCTCTTTGAAGCTTGAAGGTTCCCACACCTTCTCTGAGCTACTAAGAACAGCAGTTGCCGTCTTAGCAAACTCATCAGCAAATCTCTTTGGAGGTTTGCCCTTCGTGGCTCTCTCTGCGTACTAGACGCAAGTCTTCTGGACTCATCTCCTCCTTCTTAGGAGAAAAGTGACCAATGGTGAACAGTGGTTCTTCCAGTTCATTGTCAGACGCATCAGATGGTCTGACTGAGGTCTTTGCGCTCTTGTAGTCTGTTGTGTCATCACTGTCGCTGACATCAGCAGCAGCGCCACCCATTGAGCTGGAATCCGAACTCTGATCATCATCATCATCATCCTCAGCTTCCTCAGCTTCCTCAGCATCTTTCACATCACCTTCATCTTCCTCTGGGTAACTCTGGAAAATTCCCACATTTCCCCCCCACTTAGGATTGTACTCAACACTCTTTGTGAACTTAATGGACTTAGAGTCAGTCATCCGTACCCTGTATGCACCTTTTTCGTACCCCATGAACAAACCATGTGCCCCACGCTTCCCAAGCTTGTTGCTTTGTGGGGTGTGTACCCACATGTCAGAACCAAAGATTCTCATGTGCTCGACGTAAGGTTTCTTATCAAACATCTTCTCATAGGGAGTACAACCAATAGGTGATGACAATCTGCGATTATAAGTATAAACAAAAGTCGACAGAGCCTCCCCCCAAAACTTTTCAGGGAGATTGGCATCATGCAACAAGGTTTTTAGGCCTTGAAGCAAAGTCTGATTTGCTCGCTCTGCAAGCCCATTCATCCATGGCGATCTAGGCGTTGACAAGTTATGCTGGATTCCCTTCTCAGTCAGGAAAGCTTCAAACTGCTGAGAAGTGAACTCCCCGCCCCGATCAGTAAAGAGACAGCTGAAACGTTTACCGTGAACATTCTCCAACCAAGCACAGAATGCCTTGAACTTAGGAAACGCTTGCGATTTCTGCTCGAGCATAAACACATGAATGTACCTGGAAAAAGAATCAATTAGAACCATGAAGTACCTTGCTCCACCCAAAGAGGGTGCAAGTGGACCAACCAGGTCTGCATGGACTAGCTGGTAGGGTTTGGAAGCCTGCCTGCTAGACTCCTTGCCTTTTGGAGCAACCTTCACCTTGTTCTCTGCACAAGATACACATTTCATGTGAAACTTACAGGGTTTGATGTTCAAACCCTGAACCAACTCAGGCATCTTGGCCAGTGCCTGCCAAGACATGTGACAAAATCTTCTGTGTGCATCATGAATACATCCTGCATGAAGAACTTTGTTAGTTTGTGCAACACAACAAGAATCAACACTAGACACAGCAACAGCACTATTGTCATCATAAGTTATACAGAACAAGCCATCCATAAACTTTGCATGCAAAATGTCCTCTTTGCCTTTCCTGATGACACAGACGCTCCTCTTGAAGGAAATCTCAAAGCCACGCCCAGTCAGCTGTGGGACACTGAGCAAATTGTCTGCAGCACCTGGAACATAAAGTACATCTTTGATGGTTGTGTGCAGACTTGCCAGTTTCACAGTCCCTTCTCCTGCAATTCGTAATGTCTTTCCGTCAGCCAGGTGGATCTCACCATCTTGAGGTTTGAAGGAGATAAAGAGATGCCGGTCTTTTGTCAAATGGCGGGTGCATCCTGAATCCACAATAAATCTGGCCTTGGCCTTTGGAGCAGCTTTTGCAGCAAGCAAAACCTTGTTTTTCACCGGCATGGGCTTTTGCTGCTTGCCCCCCTGCTCCTGGCCATCAGACTTGCCTTTAGCCTTTGGTGAAGCTGTGCCAGCAAACAAAGCCTTGTTTTCCACTGGCGTGGGTTCTTCACCCTCCCTCTGCTTCTGGCCATCTGCAGGCATCTGTCTCTGTTTACTTCTGGCCTTCCAGTATCTGTGAGGATGACTTTGGCTCCCTTGAGAAACAGAGCTCTCAGCTGCCAACTCCTTGGCTCCCCCTGGAGGCTGGAATGCTGCCTGGGATGACATCACAGTCAGCTCCCCCTGCAACTTGGGATCTCTCGGCATCCCTGCATACACTCTCATTCTGGGAAACAGCCAGGACCTCCGATGCGGTCAAACTCTGGGCTGGGATGACAGGCAGATGAGCTACTTTCAAAGCATTCCACATCTGACGTGCTGTAGCATTGACAGCTAGCATGGCAATTTCCTCCAGAAAGACGGACAAGACTATTAAGTCTATGGCCTTTGAATTTTGGGCCTTCCATCTATCTGTCAGAGGAACTGGAGGGGCTTCACACACAGTATGCCACACTCCAAACTGTCGTAGTAAACTCTCACACCACACAGCCCAGGTCTCATAATTGTGTCGATTTAACTTTGGGCACTCAGTGCCTTCAGAGGCTTGGAAAAACTCCATTCCAGGCTTTTATTTGAGCCGTGAGCCTTATTCACTTCAAAGACTCCTTATCTTGGCAGCTCATTAATCACGAAGCCTTTGGCATGGCTCCCAGGCCCATTAGTCTGCCGGACATCAAAGAGACTCTGCCGCGGCAAAGAAAAGCCTCACCTTCGCTTTTCCTGCACATACCTCTCTCGCAGTCTTACCCTCCTGTAAGTGCCGTGAATCTGGGCCCGAAACCTGTTGTTGGGATACTGCCAGGGAGACAAAGTCCATCATGGCCCCACGTCGCCTCTGGACGTCCATCGATCTCCCGTAGACACGCAGTATCAGCAATTAGTGACACGAGCTCCAGAAATAGCTTGTCACATTCCAGAGCTGATGCATGCTCTTATCAGCAGATAATGCACAGCGAAAGATGCATGCAGGAGAGCATTATTTAAGTTTATTCAGCGTTGGTCAGAACAAAAAAAAACATGACGGCCTGCTTCAGTGTTCAGGCACCGAGAGAGAGAAACGAAAGCAACAGAAAACATAAACATCCTGCGAACAGGAAATATGCAGACTCTGTGACTCACAAAGCCTGCTCCCTTTTAAGGTGGAACGGAAATATCCTAACAAGCAGCACTTCCCCCCACCACGAGCCCCACAAGAATTCCACAGCTGGAATTCCCCCACCTCCTAGAAAAGCCCACAGGAGCCGCACATCCTTTAAAGAGCGCGTGGCTCCTGCGGGCTTTTCGACCGACCTTGTGGGGCTGGCGGTGGGGGGAAGTTTTACATTTATCAATGCTGGTTTCTAAACGTGGAGGGAGGGAGGCAGGTCTGACGGTTCTTCTTTGCTGTTTCCTCTAGATTTTGATATGTGGAATGATACCGACTGCGAGAACGAGAACTATTACTTGTGCAAAATGCCAATCTAGAGATGGACATCCTTCACTACTGAGGCTTCAACAAGCTCAGCACCTTGGAGAATGGGACCAACCTGGAGGTCTTTTTCTTCCACCGGGGCATTCGTTCACCCACCCACATTGCATCCCCATGTCGTAGCCTTTGAGATGTCTCCATCTTGAGACTTCAATAAAGAAATTCTCCTCTGCATCCCGTCTCTGTCTCCTTCAAACTGATCACGGGGCTAACCAACCAGGGATGTCAGAGGTCGCTGTCAGAAACACAGGCAGAAACAGCCAATGTCTGCTTTTCTCACCCCATGTCTGGAAGGGAAGCTGTAGCCTTCTTAGACTTTACCGATTGGTTGGGTGAGCATTGCTCCCAGAGAGGGAGGAAGGAGTCAAAAGACACCGAGGTTGATTCAGAGAAAGAGTTCTTTATTTCTGCTCTCTGGAGGAGCAGGAAGGCACTTGTGTGGTCAGTTCACAGCAAGCCCACCGAAAGAGAAATTTCAAGCAGTATATATCCCCTCCAGGCACCCTCTTCCCTCTCCCCAGGAATCCAGCCACGTTGGCTTATACACATAAGTTGACATCCCCAGGAATCCAGCCACGTCAGCTTATACGTGTAAGTTGACATCCATGACCATAAACAGATGTTCCTGTTCCTGTCTTCCTTATCTTGGGGTAAGAAGGTCACCAACTCTAAGAGCACTCCTGGCACCACCCCTGAGCGTGGGGGGGGGGTGTTGCAAGGTGTGTGCATCAGTGTGTCAGGATATTTACAACCTACAGGATAAGATAAGCCCCAGCTCTGCCGTCCCGTCTCCACTTCGGAACTGACAAGGCCATCTATTAAGCGTCACGTACTGATAAAGGAGAGGGCTTTGTTTATACAGCTGGGTCCCTGTTATACATGAGCTCAAGTTAATGGATTTTAGCTAATGGATCCCTGGAGAAGGAAAAATTGGGATTTTGGGGCCCGTTTCAGACTGACTGCACAGTCAGGTTTTAGGTTTGGGAACCTGCTCCTTCAAAGCTAATCCACCCTGGTGTACGAGTTCCCTGTTCCCTAATCTTACTTCTTTATTACACTTATAGCTCTTTCTTCCCTCCAAGGAAATCGAGGTGGTGTACCTGATTCTCCTCCCCCCATAACAACCCAGTGAGGTAGGCTAGGCTGAGAGATTATTATTATTCTTCATTACATTTGCAGCTTGCCCTATACCCGCAGGTCTCAGGGTGTTTACAACATAAAATCACAATATAAAAACAACACTATAACACACACCCCCCAAAAAAAACAGTGACCAAGGTTGCCTGGTGAGCCTCAAGACATAATGGGGATTCGAACACTGGCCTCTCCCAGGTGCTCCTTTGACACTCTAACCACTATACTGCACTGCCTCCCTGCCCCTACCATGAGTGTTTGGCTCCCAATAGTTCCATGTTTGCCCCCCTCCCTCGCCTTCCACTTGTCTTCTTCTTTGATGATCGTAAGATTGTCTTCCATGCATACTGTCTTAACACTGAGTCCTTAAGGGACAGTGGAGGCCAATTCTGGATCCACACGTCCTTCCACAGTGGGGACATTGGTTTCTGGGCGGGAGTCGATCACTGTGTGGATTTGCCAAGCGTGCCTTCCTCTTAGCATGTTTCTCCCTTGTGTCCTGAGTTCGAGTGTCTTCAAAGCCCATGACACCTTTGGCAAAGGCTGTTCTCCAACTGGAGCGCTCGCAGGCCAGTGATTCCCAGTTGCTGGTGTTCATCTACATTTTTAAAAGATTTGCCTTGAGAGAGTCTTTGAACCTCCTTTGTTGACCACCAGCATTACACTTTCCATTTTAAGTTCAGAATAGAGCAGTTGCTTTGGAAGACGATAATCAGGCATCCGCACAACATGACCAGTCCAACGAATCTGATGTTGAAGAATCATTGCTTCAACGCTGGTGATCTTTACTTCTTCCAGTACACTGCAAGTACCCAGATGCCTCCTCACATGCCCCACAAATGGGTTTTGCTTTGCTTCCCTGCCCTGTGCTAGACTTGTCCTTTGCAATCGCTTTTGGTCCCTTTTTGGTTGAGGGTCCAGGCCCCTCAACTTTGGCTGGACTGCACTCGCCATGCTGCTGAGCAAGGAGGTCCAAACAAAAACAATATCTTATTACGCAGATGCAATAGTTGTGGGAATGCTTAGGGATGCGGGGGAGGATATATTGTCTAAGCTATCCTATCCCAACTTGTCTTTACAAGTTCAACAAAATCAGCAGAGTTAACATTCCCCTTTTTAAACACACGCACAGCAGATAGCTTCCTCAGACTCGTTAGAGTCTCTGTAAATATTTCCTGGTATTTTCCCTGTTTAATCCCTCCTAAAATAAGACGCTACGCAGTCTTCTGTAAAGTATAAAATGTTTACTCTCAAGTAATCATCTGTTCACACAAAGGTTCCCAGAAGGCGGACTTAAAAGGTTATAACATAGTTTAAATGTGGTGGCTATCTCCTTATGGGAGAAAGCCCCCTTTTTCTTCTCTTGGCCTGAAGCCAAGGGTGCATCTTAGTAGTGCTGTTGTTAAGATGGCATCAATAGAGACAAGAGAGAGAAGAATGGTCGCCAGCCTGTGGTTCTGGTTCTTTCTACTTCAGGAGAGGCCACGCTCATCTCAAGTTACACACAGGAAGTTTTGTCTTAGTCCTGGAAAGCAGGAAGTTCCGGCTGGAGGACTGAGATAACCTTCATGTCTACTCTAGCCATGTTGTGTTTGACTGCACCTGATTCTTACATCCCACATACCCCTTCTCAGACAAATACAACACACAAAAATGTAGATAACTTCAATCAACCACCCAGAGTCCCAGTTTGATACGTAGGTTCTGGAAACTCTCTCTTGGTAAGGGTTTTGTCAGGATGTCAGCAGTCATCTCGTCGGTGCAGCAATAAGATAATTCTACAAGTCCATCCTGGATCATCTGGCATATATAATGTTACCTGACTCCAATATGTTTCGTTCTGGCTAGAAATTGCTCACTCTGCGTCAGCTTTATGCAACTCTGATTGTCCTCTAGCAAGCTGACAGGTTCTTTTCTCATCAACCCAAAGTCCTTGATGAGTTGATCAAACCAGGTGATTTTTCTGCACACTTCCACTGCTGCAAGTGCAACAGGCTCAGTGGTAATGTTTGTAACAAATTTCTTTACTGGTTCCTTCCTATCATATGGATCCAATTCAGGATGTGCACCATATACAATCCTTAAGCAAGGTATAAAGGTAAAGGGACCCCTGACTATTAGGTCTAGTCGTGGCCGACTCGGGTTGCGGCGCTCAATTTGCTTTATAGGCTGAGGGAGCCGGCATACAGCTTCCAGATCATGTGGCCAGCATGACTAAGCTGCTTCTGGCGAAACCAGAACAACGCATTGAAACGCCGTTTACCTTCCCGCTGGAGCGGCACCTATTTATCTACTTGCACTTTGACGTGCTTTCGAACTGCTAGGTTGGCAGGAGCAGGGACCGAACAACGGGAGCTCACCCCGTCGTGGGGATTTGAACCGCCGACCTTCTGATCGGCAAGTCCTAGGCTCTGTGGTTTAACCCACAGTGCCACCTGCATCCCTCCGCGTCATGTTTTAATAATGGGTTAAAAAGGTAAAGGTAAAGGACCCCTGACTGTTAGGTCTAGTCGCGGACGACTCTGGAGTTGCGGCACTCATCTCGCTTTACTGGCCGAGGGAGCCAGCGCTTGTCTGCAGACAGTTTTTCCAGGTCATGTGGCCAGCATGACTAAGCCGCTTCTGGCGAAACCAGAGCAGTGCACGGAAACGCCATTTACTTTCCCGCCGGAGCAGTACCTATCTATCTACTTGCACTTTGACGTGCTTTCGAACTGCTAGGTTGGCAGGAGCAGGGATCGAACAACGGGAGCTCACCCCGTCACGGGGATTCGAACCGCCGACCTTCTGATCGGCAAGCCCAAGAGGCTCAGTGGTTTAGACCACAGCACCACCTGCGTCCCACACAACACATTTAAAAGGCCATAAATTAGACCAAGGCCTGGGAGAATAGGAATGCTCTTGCCTGGTGCCTGGCACAGCCATTGTGATTAATCTTGAATTGTTTTGTAGACAGATGAAACAGGCTATTGGGAGACATTAATGAGTATGAAAACGAGTCAGTCGTAATAACGAAAGACATCAGAATTTTAAATATATATAATTGCCCGCATGAGATTATGATGAGGCTCAGTGGTTTAGACCACAGCGCCACTCGCGTCCCTAATAATGGGTTATGAACCTTAAAGGTAGGACGTCCTGAGTCCAAATAGTTACCAAAACCATTCCTTGACCTTTCCTTAACGTTTTAAACCAGGAGTGTATAGGGAAGCTTCCCCGTCATGCAGAAACACACTGAGACTCAGCCTGACACGCCAGAACTTCTGTAAGCCAGTATTAGCAGCAGCGCCATCACTAGATTCAAGGAGGCAGAGACAAAACGAGAGTCACATATGTGCTTGAAAGAGAGTTTATTCGTCGTTGTGTCACACACAGGCCAGGCAGGAAAGAGGCGAAGGTGCTGGAACATAGCAAGGACAATGGCTTGGGCCCCCATGGAAGGAAAGGACTCGAAGCCAACCCTGTTATTCAACGCGTGGGGCTCATGGAAGCTGTTTGGAAAGCCATGGCAAATTGCTGCACTCAGTGCAATGAGAATCGGCACAGAAAGGGAAACTTTTCCTCACACATATTATCAGTCCATAGAGCAAGGTCTGGAAGAAATCAGAAAGAAATGTCACCAGGTTTTCCCTACTGAAACAGTGCTATTTATGACAGTTGGTAAAATGATACAGATGGTATCATGTGGCTCACGCATGAGAGCACATAGCATTTTCAAGAAAAACCTTTAAAAAGGAACTTTCCAAATTCTTTAAACATTGCAGGTTTCTTTTTTCTTTTTTAGTCTTTTAAATAGGTAAAGGGACCCCTGACCATTAGGGCCAGTTGTGACTGACTCTGGGGTTGCGGCGCTCATCTCGCTTTACTGGCCAAGGGAGCCGGTGTACAGCTTCCGGGTCATGTGGCCAGCATGACTAAGCCGCTTCTGGCGAACCAGAGCAGAGCACGGAAATGCTGTTTACCTTCCTGCCGGAGAGGTACCTATTTATCTACTTGCACTTTTTGACATGCTTTTGAGCTGCTAGGTTGGCAGGAGCAGGGACCGAGCAACGGGAGCTCACCCTGTCGCGGGGATTCGAACCGCCGACCTTCTGATTGGCAAGTCCTAGGCCCTGCGGTTTAACCCACAGTGCCATCCACATCCCTTTTAGAGGTGCATTAAAATCCGGGTGTGGGTGTGTGCATGTACTATTGAAGTATCGAGCATTTAATTGCCCTGCTTGTACCTCTAATTTCGGATCTGCTGGAGGAGAGGACTATGGGCAAGATCAACTGTGCCAGATGACAGGGACTGATGGAGACTCCCCTTTATTCTTGAACTGAAAATTGATATATGCCACCCAGAGCACAGGGCAGAGAAAACTCTGAAGGATGAGCTCTGCTCTTTGGCAACAGCTTTTCTTAAAAACAAACAAACAAACAAACAAAACAAACAAAACCATTGGTGGTGCATTTGCCAAATGATGGAGGCAGGGGAAAATTCTGTCAAAAAACGAGATCAGGTTAGTCTGACATGACTTATTTTTCAGAAATCCATGCTGACTATTGGTGATCACAGCATTCCTTTCTAGGTGCTCACAGACTGTTTGCTTAATGATCTGCTCCAGAATCTTCCCTGGTATTGATGTCAGACTGACTGGGCGGTAATTATTTGGGTCCTCTCTTTTCCCCTTTTTGAAAATAGGGACAACATTTGCCCTCCTCCAGTCTGCCGGGACTTTGCCTGTTCTCCAGGAATTCTCAAAGATGACTGCCAGTGGTTCTGAGATCACATCTGCCAGTTCTTTTAATACTCTTGGATGCAGTTCATCTGGCCCTGGAGACTTGAATACATCTAAACTAGCCAAGTATTCTTGTACTATCTCCTTAGTTATTCTGGGCTGTGTTTCCTCTGCTGAATCATTTGCTCCAAATTCATAGAATCATAGAGTTGGAAGAGACCACAAGGGCCATCGAGTCCAACCCCCTGCCAAGCAGGAAACACCATCAGAGCACTCCTGACATATGGTTGTCAAGCCTCTGCTTAAAGACCTCCAAAGACGGAGACTCCACCACACTCCTTGGCAACAAATTCCACTGTCGAACAGCTCTTACTGTCAGGAAGTTCTTCCTAATGTTTAGGTGGAATCTTCTTTCTTGTAGTTTGGATCCATTGCTCCGTGTCCGCTTCTTCAGGTCGGGCATTGTTTTCTTTATCGGAGAAGACTGAGGCAAAGAAGGCATTGAGGAGTTCAGCCCTTTCTGTGTCCCCTGTTTGCATTTCACCATCTTCTCCTCTGAGTGACCCCACTGTTTCTTTGTTCTTCCTTTTGCTACAGACATACCCATAAAAGCCTTTTTTGTTGCTTTTAACCTCTCTAGCAAGCCTGAGTTCATTCTGTGCTTTAGCTTTTCTGACTTTGTGTCTACATGTGCTGGCTATTTGTTTGAATTCCTCTTTGGTGGTTTCCCCCCTTTTCCATTTTTTGTACACATCCTTTTGTACACATCAGTTAAAAGTTCTTTAGATAGCCACCCTGGCTTCTTTAGGCACCTTCCATGTTTCCGTCTCATTGGTATTGCCTGAAGTTGTGCTTTTACTATCTCCCTCTTAACAAACTCCCAACCATCATGAACTCCCTTTCCTTTTAGTATTACTGTCCATGGGATCTCACCCAGCACTTCCCTAAGTTTTATGAAGTCTTGGCTGAGTTTGACATCCAACAAATATCCGGGTAATTGAAGTCCCCCATTACTACTATCTCCCTTCCTTTTGCATGCTTGGCCATGAAGGCATCATTTATGTCCTCCGTTTGGCTTGGGGATCTATAGTAAACTTCCACAAGGAGGTCTCTGTTATTCTTCTCTCCCTTAATTTTGACCCAAATGCTCTCACTTTGGCTTTGAGGTTCTAAATCTTGGATCTCTTCACAGGTATACACATCCCTGACATATAACGCCACTCCTCCTCCTTTCTTGTCTGGTCTGTTTCTCTGAAATAGATTGCATCCCTCCATTATTACATTCAAATCATGGGACTTATCCCACCAGGTTTCAGTGATGCCTATTATGTCATATTTAGTTTGCTGTACCAAGAGCTCAAGCTCATCTTGTTTATTTCCCATGCTTTGCGCATTAGTGTACAGACACTGAAGTCCATTAATCATTCCCCCGTGTCTTTTATTTAAGGATTTTTTCCTCCCACCACTAGGTCTGCATGCTGTTTGCTCCATTTGGTCTATGACATTTGGATGATCATCTTCATCAATTGATAGACTCCTACCTTCAGGAGCACTGTCTCCCTCCCCCACATTAGTCAGTTTAAAGCCCTCCTGATGAGGTTTCTGAGATTTTTGGCAAAAACATTCCTCCCAACCGTTGTGAGGTTCAGCCCATCGCTTGCCAGAAGTCCATCTTCAAGAAAATGCAGTCCGTGATCTAAGATTCCAAACCGTTCCTGTTTACACCATTTGCGAAGCCAGCTGTTCACTTCCACTATTTTTCCCTCTCTCCCTGGGCCACGTCGTTCAACTGGGAGGACAGATGAGATGACAATTTGTGCATTTAATTGCTTCAATTTCCTGCCCAGAGCCTCGCAGTCTCTTTTGATCTTCTGGAGGCTATTGCTTGCAGTGTCATTGGTTCCCACATGAACCAAGAGGAAGGGGTATTTGTCAGTGGGTTTTATGATTCCTTGCAGTCGTTCAGTTACATCTTAGATCTTAGCCCCGGGGAGACAGCACACCTCCCGAGACATCTTGTCAGGCCCACAGATCACTGCTTCTGTTCCCCTCAGTAGGGAATCCCCTATCACCACTACACACCTCCTCTTAGGTTTGGTCGGGGTTCTTCCGTGAGCTGTCCGTTCCAAGGTGGCCTGCACATTCCCTGAGGACTGACTTTGCTGCTCGTCTTCATATACCTGATTGACTGTAATGAGGGAGAGATCCTCAAATGGAGTCTGTTCTTTGTCTTCCATGCTAGGGGAGAGGACCTCAAAGCGATTGTGTATTTCTAAACAATCAGAGCGAACCCTGGGCCTCCTACTTCTTTGAGTCACGTTTCTCCAGATATCTGGCACCTGTGTTGGTGAACTAGCCTCCTTCTCAGGGGTGTCCCCTGTCTCCTCCTTGGTGGAGACGGTGTTCTCTGTTGCTTCCAAGAAGAGCTCCAGCTCTCTAATTCTTTGGAGCGTAGCTACACGTTCCTCCAGTTGCTGGAGGATCAATCAATCTGGTATACATGCTATATCACAGGCACATCCAATGGGTAGATTGTGATCTACCAGTAGATCACCGGACACCTGTGGTAGATCACTGGCTCCCCACAAAGAAGCTCAACAACTTTGGCTCCCCTACATTTTAGCTCTGTACCCCCAACTTTGATGACCTGAACCCCTGAAACCCCCCAAAATGGGGTAGATCACTGGCAGTCTGTAACTCTCTGAGTAGATCACAGTTTCTTGGGAGTTGGCCACCCCTGCTATATCAGAATTTGGGATCTCTGCAATATTAGTAATACAGCAGAGTTTGCCAAAGAGAAAAGGTGTGCTGCACACACAAAGCTTCATTTCAAAGCGAGTGGCACTGTGGTCTAAACCACTGAGCCTCTTGGCTTTGCTGATCAGAAGGTCAGCGGTTCGAATCCCCACGACGGAGTGAGCTCCCGTTTCTCTGTTCCAGCTCCTGCCAACCTAGCAGTTCGAAAGCTCGTCAAAGTGTAAGTAGATAAATAGGTACCACTTGGGCGGGAAGGAAAACAGTGTTTCCATGCACTGCTCTGGTTTCGGTGTTCTGTTGCAGCAGAAGCGTCTTAGTCATGCTGGCCACATGACCCAGAAAACTGTCTGTGGACAAACGCCAGCTCCCTTGGCCAGTAAAGCGAGATGAGCACCACAACCCCATAGTCATGTTTGACTGGACTTCATCATCCAGGGGTCCTTTACCTTACAAGCATGGGAAAAGGAAGTCTTCACTGGTGCCAGATATGAGTAAGTAAGATTTCTTATATGGCAGACAGGTTCTGAGACTGTGTCTTGGTTCAAATAAAGCTCTTCTTGCAACTGAGGACTCAGCTAGACTGGTAAAAATAAGTGATTTATATTAGATTGCGATGTAGAGTCCTGTTTGTCTCTACCTGCTTTCCCTGTTTAAATTTATGCTTTAAACTGAAATGCTTCTTCGACGTTGTCTAGATCCAGCCTGACAAGCCCTGTGTGACTGCTAATCTGTTTTGTGGACTATACAACCAGTCCTGGTCTGCCCTTAAGGTTGTCCTGCTCTTAGACTTAGGGTTGCCACACCTCTTTTTGTCAGCTGGCTGGCTCTGAGATGGGACTCTCCTGCTGCAATTCAAAATCCCAATTTTCAGATGCAGCTGCCCAAGAACATTCTGAATTATGCGAGGAAGCTTGTGCTTGCCATACAGTGTGTATCTGCAAAGGGTTGCCTTAATAGGGTGGGCAGGAAAGAAGAATTGGAAGACTGAAATTAAGAGGAAATGTTCTCTGAACCCCACCAAGGTGATTAAATCTCCTTACTTTCAGCGTGCAGCGCTACACAGTGCTCTTTTTCCTGAGCGTGCGGTTCCCCAACTGCCCAAGGCATGTAGTTAGCTGTCGAAAAATCTGTCCACCTCCACCTTGGGAACTGTAGAGATAGCAAAAGGGTCAGTGTCTTTTTGAGAAAGCAGCACTGTCCAATTCTACCTCCTCATCCCTGACTCAGACTCTTTCATTGGCTCTGCCCAAGTAAAAGACAAGACAAAACCCATATGGATTTCCAAAGTATGTAAAGATTTGCTGAGTTACAATAGTCAGTTTTGGGGAAAATATTAGGCGGGCAATGGTCTCACCAACATGGAATGGAGACAGTGTGGGGTGTAACATAAGCATAACAGCCTCGGCCCAGTATACCTGAAGGAGCGTCTCCACCCGCATCGTTCAGCCCTGAGGTCCAGCTCTGAGGGCCTTCTGGCGGTTCCCTACCTGTGAGAAGTGAGGTTACCAGGAACCAGGCAGAGGGCCTTCTCAGTGGTGGTGCCCGCCCTGTGGAAAGCCCTCCCATCAGATGTCAAGGAGATAAACAGCTATCTAACTTTTAGAAGACATCTGAAGAAAGCCCTGTTTAGGGAAATTTTTAATGACTGGTGTTTTATTGTGTTTTTAATCTTTTGTTGGAAGCCTCCCAGAGTGGCTGGGGAAACCCAGCCAGATGGGCAGGGTATAAATAAATTGTTGTTGTTGTTGTTGTTGTTGTTGTTGTTGTTGTTAGTCAAGTACAACACTTCCTGTTTGCCCAGAGTGGACACACAGGAGGGTGTTATTCCACAGCCAGGAGGACTTTGTGTCACATCCTCAGCATGTGACCAGGTAGGTGGGCATGACCCCGGAAGACCCCATAAAAGGGCCAGTCACGCAGCCACCTCCCTTCTCTTGATGCTATGTTCTCTTGATACTGATGTATTTTGCTGTCTACTGGCCCTTAGCCACCAGGACATGGGCTCATTCCCATACAGGATGAACTCTAACCCTCTTCTGTAACTCTGAGCCAGGCTTCCTCAACCTTGACCCTCCAAGATGTTTTTGGCCTACAACTCCCATGATCCCTAGCTAGCAGGACCAGTGGTCAGAAATGATGGGAGCTGTAGTCTCAAAACATCTGGAGGGCCGAGGTTGAGGAAGCCTGCTCTAAGCTAAAACCTGTCTTCAGGGATCCAACCGTGAACTGAATGTGAGTAAATTTCTTAATACTTTTAAAAGAAGACTTTTGTGTCGTTATTCTTTTTAGGAGGGATAAAAGGGGGCTTTTGCGGGTGGTGGGGGAAAGGGACAGAGTGTGTGGGGAAAATATCTAATTTACCTTAAAAACTATTGTAAACAATTATTAGTAGGATTGGAATAACACTTGTAGTTTACTGTTAAATTTTGGGTGTCATGGAGATGTCATAGATTTGGATTGATAGACGAGATGCAGGAGGAAAAGGTTAATATAAGGACCCACAAAGGGGAGGAGGGAAGTTCAGGAGACTCTCTGGAAATTCTCTTTCTTTGTTGGCTGTTTGATAACCATTTGCAAATTGGTAAAATCTGAAAAACTAAATAATTTGTTTGTTTTAAAGGAGAAAAATGAAACAAGATGCCAAATGTAAAGGAAGCCAGGACCTCTGTCCTTCTAACATTCATACCAAAGAGGGGATAGTGGCAGGTGCACCATTAGCAGAGGAAGGGGGTGTGGGGGTACGGCCTGCCCTGGGTTTCATCCCTGAGGGTGGGGGGTGACATCGCTGTGCCGCTCTCCCTGGGACGCTCGCCACAGCAGCGCCCCCTGGAGGCTTGCTGGAGGTGGCGCACGCCCAGGAGGCTCACCACCGTTGTGCCGTTGTAGGCCTGGGAGGCTCGCCACTGTTGCACACTCAGGAGGCTCGCCGCCACCAGCGCAGCCCCCATGCACCGTGCCGTCCCTATGGGTGGTTTCCCCGCCCCTGAGCCCCAGGATAGCAGCAAAAATTGCAGGCTGCCTCTACTCACCTTGCCACTTTTCATCCTGTGCATCCCAATCCAGACCTGATGCTTAGGTTGAACGCGCTTAGCTAGTTCTTTGGTCACAACGGCCATTTCTTCACGACTGGCAATGGTGGCAAGATGCACCTCTGGGCCGTAGGCTTGACATTTGGCCTGAGAGAGAACGAGGAAAAGGAGTCGGTTAGCCCAACGAACAGACGGTCGCCTCGTGAATACCACACAGTTCTTCTTATTCCTTCTGTGCATCTGAACAAACAATCACTTCTGAGGGATAACAGGAGAGGTCACACACACCCCTGCCAAGTTTCCCTGAACCGGCATTTTACCCTAAAAGAGCAATGGAGCAGGGAGAGAAGTGGAGCAGGGAAAGGAAGTAAATTTTGGCACCAGCTGGTTTTGGTGAGGATTATTGTCATTTATCACTACTTAGCAACATCCCTTCTCATTTCCTGAACCCTTCCGCTATATTTTCTGGCTAGCAGCTACCATAGGTAAAGGTAAAGGGACCCCTGACCATTAAGTCCAGTCATGGCCGACTCTGGGGTTGCGGCACTCATCTCGCTTTACTGGCCGAGGGAGACGGTGTACAGCTTCCAGGTCATGTGGCCAGCATGACTAAGCCGCTTCTGGCGAACCAGAGCAGCGCACGGAAACGCCGTTTACCTTCCCGCCGGAGCGGTACCTATTTATCTACTTGCACTTTGATGTGCTTTCGAACTGCTAGGTTGGCAGGAGCTGGGACCGAGCAACGGGAGCTCACCCCATCGCGGGGATTTGAACCGCCGACCTTCTGATCGGCAAGCCCAAGGCTCTGTGGTTTAACCCACAGCACCACCCGCGTCCTTAGCAGCTACCATAGTCCCATATAAATAAACCTTAATAAAAAGCCCTCTCTCTGTGTGTGTAATCAATAATGAATACCAATATGAAATGCTCCCCCCCCCTTCTAAAAAACTATTTAGGAGTACTCTCATTTTGACTCAAGAAAACCACCATTTTATAGTTCGAATCGGGGAAAATAAATACAGGCAATGGGCAAAAGTGCAAAGATTCACAAAATGTGGGGGAAACACACTGCCAATATGACAATATGCCCTTACCATATGGACAAACCATTGTTTTCTTCAATTGCTACTGCACAATTCGACTACTACTCCCTCCCTTTGATCCTGGAGTACATTTGCTTGGCCAAGGTTTTTACCAAAGGGTTCACCGGTTGCAGGATCTCATGGCTTCCAAGAGTGTGGTTTTGATTGTAGCTTAAAGATCATCAGAGAAATAAGTTTTGGCATGCAATGCAAGTCGGGCAGCAAAGACAGGGGAGTTCCAAGATTCATGCCTTACCTCTGCTCTGTTCCAAGATTCTGGGTTCTTGTGGTATTTATAGCAAAATCGGGAAAAAGAGAACCAGTCTTCGGGGCAGGGGTCTCCTGAGCCTTTCACTGGAGAAGGAAAGGAGGGTCAGAGGGGAGGCAGGGTTTGTTTCCCAACAAAGCCACTTCCGCCCTTCGAAGGAGGTGGAGTTGTGGGCTTCACAGCCCAGCCCCGTGAGATTGGGGAGATTCCTGGCCGCGTCATCCTCTAGCCAGCAAATTGGCTGGCTCTGGGGGCATGGTCTGCCCTATTTAAGGCAGGACGCGGCCGGGGATCTCCCTCTTTCCCGCCTGCCAGCTGTTCCTGTTTTTCCCACCCTCCCGCCCTATAAGGTTTTTGTTCCTTGACCTTGCTATGGACCTTGGTTGGTCGCCATTGAGGGGCCTGGTAGGAATTTTTCCACTTGGCAAATTGGCACCAGCCACTTGGTTTTTGCCTACCTCATAGCAAATCGTCACAACTTTCTGGGTATTGGCGGTTAGGCATTGGTATTGTTCTGTAGATGGAAGAGGGGAGGAAGCGCCATCCCCTGTCCCACATACTGAAGGGTAGTCCGATAAAGGATTCCGGGCGGCGTGGCCCTGTCCGAAGCCTTGGGAGGTGAGGGACTAAGGCACGCCCCCTAACGGTGACCCCAGGGGAGTTCCTAGTTGATGTGCATCAGCAGGACTCCCCCTACTGGTGGTTAACCCTTCCCAGACTTCAAGTGAACGGGCTGAAGCCGGATATAGTCGGTTAGGACCAATGCCTAAGCCAATACCGCTCATCACCTGTAACGAATAAAGTTGTGGCCTTATTTAGCCCATTAACCTTTTCTTTTTTTTTAAAGATATTTATTAAGATTTTCCACAATACATTAAAAAAATCAAAAAAGAGAAAAACAAAAAAGTTAAAAACACATAGAGTTTGCAATCCTTATTTTCTATAACATATTTCCCTGACTTCCCCACACCTCCCCTTCTTGTATTCCAGTTCAAATTGTTAGTTCAACAAGTTCTTGTCCCCAATTTTTTAACCTTATTATATTTAATTCATTTTAGTTAACCAATTTTAACTTATAAACATCAGTATTTGTACGTCAGTGCTCATTCTTAAAACCCTTTTCTAAAGTCGACCCACATTCCCTTCCACGAATTCCCCAATTTTTATACTAATAACAAAACAGAATAAAAAGAAACAGAATATAATTGTACACCCTTTGGATTCCCAACCCCCACCCCCCCTTTCCCGGTTTTGATCCCCAATAAATGTCCATCAGTCTATCTGCTATCAGCCTGGAGACCTCACGTCCGAGGCTCATAATTCTCTCACAATTCCTCTCTGCCGGTTTTTTTGATAGTCCTTTGTATTAAACACCAAATCTCGGAGAAGCTCTGTCCCAATAGGGCCCATGTTTCTTCCAGCCAGACCTCCATATTTAAAAGTGGAGCCCAAATCTTGTTTCTTACTCCTTTTAAGTCCAAATGTCCCAAAAGCTCCAGCTTCCACCTTGATCAGATTTGTAATCCATAGGTCTTCAGATCTCCCCATAAGAAGATCTCTCCATTCTTCATTCTCCAATTCAAACCAGATTTCCATCATCCAGTTCTTATTTTCCTTTGTATCCATCTTGACAGGCCTCTGGCTCTCCTTTGTAATCTGCAACATTACAGCTTCTCCTTCCCTTTCCTCCGGAACAACATATATCTCTTTCTCCACTCTCTCAAAGTTCTCAAGTTTCTCTTCTTGTCCAGCTGCACAAACTTCCTGAGTCAAATCCTTATCAAATTCAATAAGTTTATTTACTGTTAAGTTCAGGGTTGCAACATTTTTAGCCAAAACATCACTTTGGCCTTGTAACTTTCCCAAGAGAAGAAACACTCTGTCCAATTCAGCCTGAATTTTTCCTCCTTCAGCCATTCTTGTAGTGTCCCAAAACCCCCTCTAGAGGGATTCTGGTTACTTAATATTCCTTCCAGTTCAAATCCAAAAGTCAAGTTAGTTTGTATCAGTTCTTCCTTGTTTTCATCAATTTATAACCAAATTGTAACTAATATAGCCAGCAGAAACAACAGGAACAAAGTTCTCTTTTTTCTTTTTTTCTTTTTAATAAATTTTTATTAGTTTTCCAAACACATAATAAAAACAAACAATACACAATACACAAACATACAAACATATAAACATGTATAATTTCATAATCTTATTTTCATATACCTTACTTCCCGGACTTCCCCATACCTCCCCTTTTCTGCATCCTTGTTTTACATTTCTTCAGCAACTCCTCCAATTAACTAATTATTCGAATTCAATTTCATTTGAGTTCTTTTTTTTTTAACTTATTGATTACAGCTGCAATTCTCTATTTCCAAATTCCTTGACATCTTAACACTCCTCAATTTTACAACAATTTTTAAGATATGTTTTAAATTTCTTCCAGTCTTCTTCCACTGTCTCTTTCCCCTGGTCACGGATTCTGCCAGTCATCTCCGCCATTCCCATATAGTCAATCACCTTCGTCTGCCATTCTTCCAGCGTGGGTAGTTCTTGTGTCTTCCAATACTTTGCTAAAAGGATCCTTGCTGCTGTGGTAGCATACATAAAAAACATCCTATCCTTCCTTAACACCGATTGGCCGACCATGCCCAGGAGAAAAGCCTCTGGTTTCTTAGGAAAAGTCCTTTTAAGGACTTTCTTAATTTCATTATAGATCATTTCCCAAAAGGCTTTAATCTTCGGGCAGGTCCACCAAAGATGGTAAAAGGTACCTTCAGCCTCATTACATTTCCAGCATTTGTTATTGGGCAAATGATAAATTTTTGCAAGTTTGACTGGGGTCATGTACCACCTGTAAATCATTTTCATAATATTTTCTCTTAAGGCATTACATGCCGTGAACTTAACACCAGTGGTCCATAACTGTTCCCAGTCAACAAACATGATGTCATGACCGATGTCTTGTGCCCATTTAATCATGGCTGATTTCACCGTTTCATCCTGTGTATTCCATTTCAACAGCAAATTATACAAAGTTCTCTTTTTTCAGCTTTGACAGCTAATTTGACAGCTGTCAAACTCTTCTATATCTCCTCAACAGGCTCTCTCGCGAATCACTCCCGGGTCCAGGGGGGTGGCACTTCAGCTCTCAAAATTGGCTCTTATCCTCCAGTAAGATTACTTATACTGCCAAATCGTGAAATTAATGTCTTTTACCCAATAAAGAAGAAGAAGTTCTCTCGACCTTAGTTATCTAGTCCTTGCTTTAAATTATTTACAAGATGGGGAGACGGACTTCCTTTTTGCGCCTTCCCCGGTCGTACCAAATTCAAAGAAATTTTTCCTTTTAGATCCAATTTCCGTACTACTCACGGGTTGTGGATTTTGAGGTCCGATTTTTCAAAGGAAGAAGTCAGCGCTCTCCGACCATGGCACGCGGCTTTACCCCGCAGGAGGAGCAGTCGACTCTCAGCACTGCGCCACTCACCCCGTCCCCCATTCCGAAGCCTTTAAAAAGGCTCCTTCACGGGTCGGGGGGCGCAAAAGGTGCCCGCCGAGTCACCAAGTCCACAGGCTTCTGTGCCTGTGGTTTCTGAGGGTCCCCGTGTCGCTGCAGCGGCAAGACCCGAATCCTGCAGGGCCGATTCCCTCCGGAGCTCGGAGGGAATCCGCCATTAGTTGCTGGCGCTAACCCGGAAGTCTTTAGCCCATTAACCTTAATAATTGTGTCATGAGTCATTATTTCCACTGTGGGGGCGGGAACTCGCCACGCAATTAAAGCCATAGCCTTGCTGCATTTCATCCAATAAAGACTGAACAGGAGACCCCTCTTGATATCTAGCACAGCATATTTTATGTTCCAACATCTCCCATTAAAAAGTCCTGTATAAATTTAGCAGACAATGACAAACCTAGACAGCATCTTAAAAAGTAGAGACATCACCTTGCCAACAAAGGTCCGTATAGTAAAAGCTATGGTTTTCCCAGTAGTGATGTATGGAAGTGAGAGCTGGACCATAAAGAAGGCTGATCGCCAAAGAATTGATGCTTTTGAATTCTGGTGCTGGAGGAGACTCTGGAGAGTCCCATGGACTGCAAGAAGATCAAACGTCTCCATTCTGAAGGAAATCAGCCCTGAGTGCTCACTGGAAGGACAGATCCTGAAGCTGAGGCTCCAAGACTTTGGCCACCTCAGGAGAAGAGAAGACTCCCTGGAAAAGACCCTGATGTTGGGAAAGATGGAGGGCACAAGCAGAAGGGGACGACAGAGGACGAGATGGTTGGACAGTGTTCCCGAAGCTACCAGCATGAGTCTGACCAAACTGCGGGAGGCGGTGGAAGACAGAAGTGCCTGACGTGCTCTGGTCCAGGGGGATCACAAAGAGTCGGACACAACTAAACGACTAAACAACAACAAAATTTAGCAGACTAACCTTGGCCAAAATTTAGCAGACTAACCTTGGACGTCTTCAACTTTACTTATTCTGTCCATCAACCCAATGTTATTCTTTTGCAATTCCGTTATTTCTTTACGATAGGCTGCGGAAATTTTTTCCAGCTGGGAGAGTCTTAATTCTACCTTTGCAATGCGATCGATAATGGCCTTTATGTAGCTTTGAGGTGGAGCAGCAGATTTTCCATCATTTGATCTCCAAGTCCACTCTGTAAGAATAAGCAAAACATTGGGCTCTTCGGAAGGGCTCATTTTGCCATCAGCTGGTATCTACAAGCTCTTTCAGGCACACAAGGCAAAGAACAGAGGAGAAATTTGATTCAGTTGTTATTATTAAATTTAATTTATTACAGTCGTACCTTGGAAGTCGAGCAGAATCCGTTCCGGAAGTGCACTTGACTTCCAAAACGTTCAGAAACCAAAGCGCGGCTTCTGATTGGCTGCAGGAAGCTCACTTCTGGGTTTGTGGCATTCGGGAGCCAAAACATCCGAGCACCAAGGCGTTCAGGATCCAAGGTATGACTGTAGTTGCTTTATCTATTTGCCATGGCAACTCAAAGTTACTTACAACATGAGTTATCAGCCTGCCCACCTCGTGCAGACAGTAAAACCATAGGAAATATACATTAGAACAGCCCGCCTGCTCTAAAAGGCCACAGATTGTTAAAGGTCATATACTTTGTTAATAAGGAATGTTTTTGGCTGATGACTGAAGATGGGTAATGTTAGTGCCAGGCAAATCTCCCCAGCAAAAACATCCCAATAATGGGGAGCCACCACTGAAAAGATCCATTGTTCTTGTGTTTCCACCCTCCAAATCTCCCATGGAAGGGACACATGAAGAAGGGGCCTTGGATGGTGACGACAACTATTGTAGCTGCCTGAACCTGGACCTAGGGACAGAGATGGACTTCCATGATTGCAAAAGCAGGAATGATAGCTGGAGGGGACCAGAGGTGGATTTCTACGGCTGCAAAACGTAATAGACTAACATTCGTGTAGTTGCCATGCTTGGCCAAACCAGATAGTTGAGCTGGTTAATTATAAGCTAAAAATGAAGCTAGTTGACTCTTGAGGTCAACGCTTTCCTGTTTTGTCAAAGGAAGGGAGATATAATGAGGAACGACAAAACTTGACTTGGCTGGTTCTACCAGCTAGTTTCAGAAGGGAAAGTTTGAACTGGTAGCCATGGAAATATATATTCTCCTTCTCCTTCTCCTTCTCCTTCTCCTTCTCCTTCTCCTTCTCCTTCTCCTTCTCCTTCTCCTTCTCCTTCTCCTTCTCCTTCTCCTTCTCCTCCTCCTCCTCCTCCTCCTCCTCCTTCTTCTTCTCCTCCTCCTCCTCCTCCTGTATACCACCTTATACCCGCAGGTCTCAGGGTGCTTTGCAACATAAAATAACAATATAGAAATACAAAATATAAGCAAAACGAACCCAAGACCTCATGGTTGGCTTGTCCCAGGCAGAATATATCTTCGTGGAAGATGACCAGGAGCCTCAAAAGAGAAAGTCTGAACTTGAGTGATAGAGGCCCCATCTGTACCTAGAGAGCAAGGGGAAAGGATTGATAGAAAAGTTCATGTGCTCATGCAACTGTATTCAGCCGCATTGCTGAGGGTAGCCATTTGCTTTGACTTAAGCAGGAAGAACTGCTGTAAAAATCCTACCACATCCTTGTAAGGTATTACAATATGAAGCCAGCTACCTCCATTCCAAATGAACACCACCAACATTAATTAGTCGTGTATATGATGTGCTGAATGTGTCCGTGGCATTGCTTAATAAACAACTAGGTAGGGAGCCCCAATCCATGCTTCAAAGAGACTATATAGTGGAACCTCTACTCACGACCACAATCCGTTCCGGAGGCCCGTCCTTATGGCGAAACGGGACACTGGGAGAGTCGCCGTTGTGCGCTTGCACGAACGGCAATCGCCGCTCCTGCGCATGCGCGAACGGAGAGTGGCGGCAAACCTGCCGGTTACTTCTGGGTTTGCCGCGGTCGCAACCTGGAACGTCCCCGAGCAGAGGCGGTTGTAAGTAGAAGTTCTACTGTACAATGATCTACTGGCAGTGATTTACCTGAACAGATAAGAGCATCCATCTAGCTCAGCACCCTGTTCTCACAGTAGTCAACCTATGGGAAACAGGATGCAGAATTTGAGCATAAGAGCACTTTCCCCTCCTGGGGTTGTTTATAATTGCTCAATTACACATTGAAATGGAGCGTAGGAGCCAACTCCAAGGGGCCCTGGGAGCTTCGACCTCCACAATAAAATATTTGAGAGGGCCAGGCCCCCATAAAGTTGATGGGCATTCCCATTCAAATGGTGTGTGTGCATTGCATCATGTGATCAATTATGCAGGGCAGGGCATATCTACGCCCCCACCATATTTTATTCAAGTTGGCACCCCTGAAATGGAGAAACCTGTATATATATTGGTGAAGGGTTTGACACTGGGAAATTCCATGGAAGCACGCTGAAACTCTCTCTGAGCTCTAACAGATTGATAACTAACTGCTGGTGTTCTCTGCTAACACTCAAGTGAGTGTTTAACCTTAGATCATGTGAAGGGATTCAGTTGCAAATCTCCTGTTAGTCTTTCTCTGGACGCCACAGAAAACATAAGAACGCGATCCTGGTGCCTCTCCATGGAGCTGCATAGTCTTAGGCTGGATGCAGGCTATGGGAGAGACAGAGCTTTGATTTTGGCTCTGATCGTAATTCTATATTTAAGAACAACTTGTGCTTGAATATGCATATGTTTTACACCACTTTTTGGAGGTATCGTTGCTTGCTTTTGGTACCTGTTTTGAAGAAGTTCCAAAGGGCAGGCATGCTTGGGCTTGAGAGGCTGTTGTTGTGAGGATATATGCAGCTTCATGGAGGAAAGGTGGGGTTTTTAAAAAGCAATAAATAAAAACATAATCCTCCGCCACACACACTTTTGCCAGTCAGTTGCTCTCTACAGCTCTCCATTTGCTCTGCTATGGCTCTTAGCCCACCAACACATAACTGTTACGATATAGAAGCAATGCAGTTGCAAACTGCTAGCTTGAAAGCAAAACATAATGGGAATGTTGGGACTGTCCGTGGGAAACAGAGGGACAGTCAATTTACAGTGCGAAGCACCGGAATTAGCTCAGAGTGTAATATGAGCTGTACAGGAAGTACAGGAAGTGTTTGTCACTCGACTGCTGGAGCTTGAAGAGAGCAGTCATGTTTTCGTAATGCTGCAAAGGCAGAAATAAAGGCATGTAAATACGTTTTCTGTCTCTTTCCCCTGCCCCACGCTGAGAAGAATCGCCTATCGCGACCTCCCTGGATCTTGCTGGGGAATGCAGCCAGGGAGGTAAACAGGAGATCAAGCCGGGTGCCTGGGAGTGCTGCCAGTTTCTCCAGATAAAGGCTTGATTCCCGACATCAACAACACCAACAGGAGGATTAGGAGGTCCAAGCACCGGAGAGGCTGACTTTTAAAAATTATATCTTTAGTTCAGACAGGCTACTAAGAGATTGTGAACAATGAGCAGAGAGGGTATAAAGAGATTTATTCTTCCTCTCTTACAAAGGAGTTGGTTTTCTAGGACCAAAGCAAGCACACCTTCAAGCACCCCACAATCATCCTATGGAACTCACCGCCACAATATGTGATCTTGGCCTTTAGGTTAGGCAGGTTTTTTAAAATGATGGCTCAGAGAGAGAAAATTTGTCTCCCAACAAGTATTAGCCATGACTTGGTAGAAACGCCGAGAAACAATAAAAATATCACTACTACTAATGATTATCTTTTTGTGCCTGCCAAACAGCCGTGTCGTGCTTATGATAATATTCTATTCTCTTGTTAACTATGCTGTTTTAAATGTGCATTTTATATTTAACTTCACTTAGCAATGCTTTCTTTTGAAATGTTAAAGATTTCTTTGTGTGTTAACTTTGTTTTGTGTTAAATAAGTGTTCTGTAGTTGACCTCCTTTATTTTGAAATCTTTAAGGTAATATTTTATTGTCCTGTTAACTATCTTGCTTTGACTGTATACTTTATATTTGACTTTCTTCGGAAATGCTTGATTCTGGATTGTTTTATTAATGTTTAATATGCTGTAAACTGTTTTGAGGTTTTTCTTAAAAACATAAAGCAGTATAGAAATTAATAATAATAATAATAATAATAACAACAATAATAATACAACCAATTTATTAACCACCTTCTAAAGCAGCGTATTAAGTAGCAACACCCCTTTTCTTCCTCTGTGACTTCTGCTGTGCCGTCTAAATGCCCTGCCTTACTTCTACATCCATGCATGGTATTTCTAACCCAATCTTCACCAACCAAGCACCTGGGAGGAATTGCAATCAAATTACTACAGCTTTTTAATAAATCTATTATATAACATTGAAACTGATATAGTAAAACTTAACACTCCTGCACTGCAGGGGGTTGGATCAAACGATGTTTTCCAACTCCACGATTCTTTAAATCCATGATTGTTGGCAAGCAAACCCTGCAAATTTCAAACCCAGCCACAGTTTATTTCGTCCTCCCGACGGAGACCCATCCATTTCCCTTCCAACTTTTCATGGGCATTTGCCTCCACTGAGAGCCTCTGAAAGATTAGCAAAGCCAAAGAGAACTACTTACCTCTTTGTCTCACTGCCTTTCCCCAATTAACTTGTCCAGGGCAAGGGAAACTTTTGTTCCTTCTGCACAGGTTTCTATATACAGAGACTGCCAGGGGGAGGCATGTGCTGGCAATACAGTCATCAGTCACAACCTATTAGAACAACAGTTTATTTTTCCAGGTGAGCAGTGACCTGTGAACCAGGAACTCCCAATGAACTGGTGTAGGGTGCATGGAGAATATAATATTAAAAGCTGAAGTTCTGGACAGGACAGACATAAACGATTGGAACATTTCTTTCATTTCTGATCACTGGTCCACTGAGCTCACTACTGGGTCTAAACGGACAGTCAGACTTGGGTTGCCATATTTCAAAGTTGCTAAGTTTTTTGGGGCAAAGTTGTTGAGCTTTGCCATTTTTGAACTATTTTTCTTTTTTTAAAAAAAATTATTCATTTTCCAAACAAGTTTTATACAGTCAACAAATTATTTTACACTCATGCTTCAATTTTTGACTTCCCTCAGTTTCTCTGTCAATCTTTCGAAAAATTTCTATTTATTGACGCATTTCTAAACATGATATTGCCTTTCCCCACTCCTTTTCCTCTTACTCTCTTTTTTGCAGTATTTCTTACTATTTCACAGAGTCTCTTCAAAACCAACAAGCGTTGTCTGTGCATCACATATATTTTTCAGATATTCTGTAAATTTCCCCCAGTCCTCGATAAACTTTTGGTCTTTCTGGTATCGAATCTTCCCAGTCAATTTGTCCAATTCTGCATATTCGGTCAATTTCCTTCTCCATTCTTCCACTGTTGGAATTTCTTCCTGTTTCCATCTTTGGGCCAGAAGTATCCTTGCGGCAGTCACTGCATATTGAAACAGTTTACAGTCTCTCTTATTGATTTCGTTTCCTACCATTCCTAATAGAAAGGCTTCTGGTTTTTTAACGAACGTATATTTCAACCTCTTTTTCAATTCATTGTATATCATTTCCCATAAGTCTTTCACCTTTTTACACTCCCACCACATATGATAGAAAGTACCTTCTTTTTCTTTACATTTCCAACACTTATTGCATGTTTTATACATTTTGGTCAGTTTAACTGGCGTTATATACCATCTGTAAAACATTTTCATTACATTTTCTTTCAACGCAGTACATGCCGTAAATTTTAGCCTTTCATTCCATAATTTCATCCAATCATCATACTGTATATTGTAACCAAAGTCTCTTGCCCAGTGTATCATTACTACTTTTACCTCTTCATCTTTTGTATGCCACTCCAGCAACATTTTATACATTTTAGACAGGTTTTTATACTCATTATTCAATACCTCCACTTGGAATTTTGATTCTTTACCTTCATACCCACACATTTTACAATCTTTTTTAAACATTTCATTAATCTGAAAGTAGTTTAACCAGTCGTAAACAAATTCTTTCACCTCTTCATAAGTTTTCATTTTCCATTTCCCCCCCTCTCTTGTTACCAATTCTCCATATGTTATCCACCTCCCCCTCATGTTAATTTTTTTCACACTCATCACTTCTAATGGTGAAATCCAATGGGGGAGTCTAGTTTCCAACAAGTTTTTATACCTCTCCCACACCTCTATCAGTGATCTTCGGAAGATGTGGTTTTCAAAACCTTTGTGTATTTTTTTCTTCTCATACCATAGGTAAGCGTGCCAACCAAATCTGTTGTCAAATCCTTCTAAATCTAACAGCTCTCCATTCTCTAATTTAATCCATTCCTTTATCCAACAGAGGAATGATGCTTCATAATATAATTTCAAATCTGGCAGGGCGAAGCCACCTCTCTCTTTTGCATTTGTTAATAACTTGAACTGAATTCTTGGCTTCTTACCCTGCCAGATATAACTTGAAATTATTTTTTGCCATTCTTTAAAGA